TAGTTCATGGACCTGCAATTGCTGAAAATCTAGAACTACCCATTGGTTATTATTCTGAGGAGGCTCAGGAGGCCTAAAATAAAGTGATAAGACATACTAGGTTAAACCATTCATGCAAAATTTCCAGACTAAATGAAATGAAAAATCAATTTCAATATTTGCTGATCAGAACTGATCCAGAAATTTCGTCGATCAACTTCATAAAACAAAAATCTTCCAATGGAAACCCCTTGTCTGAACAAGTTCTTGACTTGCTGAAACACTAAGTTTAGTTTTTTTGTTTAAATCTAAATGATATTGTTACATGTTATATATGTTATATGTTACAACATACAGAAATTGTAGATATTTGTTTCTGAATAATGTAATCTTTATTGTTTTCACTGTTTACTGACAAAATCGGCTGTTATTAAAGGATTATATGTAGAGTGTTTAAAAACATTGAAAATTTGTAACTTTTTATTTAAATAAACTATATATATATTTATGAATTTGTCTCTATAAGTACAATAAAAAACGACAGAAAAGCATGTTGAGAAAGTGGGAAAAAAATTCAGAATTTGCAAATTTGCAAAAATATTTTGAAAAAAGTGTGCAAAATTATTTTCGGATATTCGGGTTGGGTTACTGATTAAATTTTAATATATTTAGAGCCAAAAAAGGTTGAAATCCATTCAGAAACACTGATATGAGGGTTTTTGCCGCTTTTCCGTAGCTGTGAGGCACTGTGCGACGTAGAAATATCAAGAAAAATTGCATCAGTAAAAATTCATATTGAAAGAATTATTTTAAAAGACATTCTTCCTTTAAGAACTGTTAAAAATATAGCGGATGAACCATTTGATTTACACTTATCTAACTGTGATAAGATTGTAACTGTTTGTGCAGCGTTAGTAAATTTAGGTGAAAGCATTGTCTGTAGACAATAATTTATTTTTCTTTTTATTTATATTATCTGAAAAAAAATTAGACTTGGGTAACTTTTTTAAGTTATAAAACACTCTACGTCAAATCCTATTATTTAGCTGTCAATAAATATAAAAATGACTGAGTCTCATATAAGAAAACTATTAAAATTATGTCGAATTTGTGGAGAAAAGCTTAGAAATCGAAGTGTTCTTTTAACAAACCATGTATTTAGAATAGAATTGAATTTTTTTATACGAATCGACAAGGACGACCCAGAGATGAAACCACAGAAAATGTGTTACAGATGCTATTTAACAATGAGAAACATTATAAAAGGTGCAAACACTAATCTTAAATTAAGAACCTGAATTAGCAATTGCAAGAATGTGAATGTGTTTGCTTCAAATTAAAAACAGGAAGGAAACCAAAAAAAACTGTTAAGGGAAGGCCCTTAAGTATTGCCAATGATGAAATTTGGACTCGACAAGAAATAAATGACATACAAGCTAAATTTCCACTTCTACCAACTTTGAATCTAAAACTACAAGACATTAATCAAAATTCTAACCCACTTTTACATCTTTGTGTCTGTTATATTTGCAATGATATTATGTATAAACCTATTATTTTAAAAAATTGTCTGCATTCGTTTTGTGCACCATGTATATTGCCACTTATTAATAATAAACTATTATCTGAAACAAAATGCCCTAAATGCTCATTATCAATTTCAATTGAGTGATCAACTTCTTCTAGCAGTGTAATTGAAATGATAAATAATTTTTAAGAAGAATGTAAGCAAAGGTGTGGTAGATTATTTAAAGTGTCACAACTGTCAGAACGCATGAATCATCAAAATATTTGTAAGATTCCAATACCAATTTCTTCAACCTTGGCAACACCGTCATCACAAATAAGTCTATCAGATATATTTGCATTAAATTCAACAAGTAATATCACAAGGGATATTGATGCTGTTGCACTTTATATTATTAAACAAAAAATGTTGTAAACAACGTCCAATGTATATAGAATTTCAGACTGAAGGACCGAGGGTAAGATTACTTATATTAAAAAAGAGAAATATTAATGTTATTATACTATTATATACTAATGTTATATATATATATATATATATATATATATATATATATATATATATATATATATTATTTATAAAATTTTATATTTAATATAATATAATAATATATAAAACATTTATAAATTACATGATATTTTAGCCTTTGTGCTTCATATCAACACCAAAAGCATATAAAGAAAGTAAAGATGTAACTTAACAGAGAGTTCGTAAACGACAATCACAGTTAAACGATTACATAAACACAACGTGTGGTGAAAGCACGAGGTCTAAAATCAAGCAAACCTCTACTCTTTTAAAATCATTTAATGAAAATGAACAAGAAATTATTTTAAGTAAATCAAATATTTCAAAAACCAAAATATCTGCTGAAGAAATTATAAGTTTAAAAGCTAACATAAGCAATACTTATGCCAACATGAAAATACTATCTAGGTACACAAATTAAAATTGTTATATAAAAACCTAGAAAAAATAAATTAAAACACTCACAACCTTTTTAAAAAAATAAAATGCACTATTGTTTTAGGTGGTTGAAAACCAAGAACGTCATTTTTGCTTCAAACGCACAAGATGTGTGGCTAAGAAGTGGTCATACGATGATCTTATTATTGAAAAAGTTCAATTTATGGTTGAAAAAAAGGAGTCCAAAGGTTCTTTTGAAATAAAAAAATTGCCATGCGCTTATATCAACTATCTGCAAGGACATAATAAATGTGCTAGATAGTTTAGACAGGTAACAACAAATTTATAAAAATACTTATAGTATATATTTCTTTAAAAATTTCTGACATGGAAGGTTTACATATAATACTATAAAAAAAATATTAATATACTATCCATGTTAAACAAACTAAATTTATTTGGCACACATTCAATATAATAGAAAAAAAATCAGTTCTAAAATTTAATTTTACTTCTATAAGACATTTTAGAAACAACTTACTATTGAACAATAAGACTAAAGGCAATGAAATACATATAAAAATAGGAGGTGATCACGGAGGTGGCTCGTTCAAAATGTGTTATTAAGTAGTGAACGTAGCCAAATTCATGTTATTTAACCCTGACACAACTGTCTTTAATATATTTGAAGCAAGTGATTTTAGAACAAATCTGAAGTTTTCACTGTCAAGTTTCACTTTAGTTCCACATCTTTTCTTCTCCTAATATTATTTAAATGATAGCTTTTGTAAAACCTACCATACCTAAAATATTTTTTTAACATCATTTCTTAGAGATAATCTAGCATTATCCCTAAATAATTAAAGTTTGAAGTGTATACAACTTTATTATAAAATCTCTATTTAACCGCAATTATTTTTGTTTACATACGTTTGAACAAAATTTGACGCATGCGCGTGTTAAAACAGCATTACTAAACCACCGTGTGTATAGCATAGGCAATAAATCATAGATTTTTTTTTCCTATCTTTAACGACTTCAATTTTTTTTTATGTAATTTGTTTTTGCATTTATTTACTATTGTTATAAAACCAACCCTTGCTTAACAAAAATATGAGGCGGGGGGGGGGGGGGGGGAAGGAGTAGTTGATAATTAAAATAATTGCGAAAAATTTTAAATTGATTTGTTTATCGGAAAAAAGTCGGATTATAATGAAATTTGGATGAAGTTTGAATGGAGTAAAAATTTGCCTGAGGCGCAAATAAGTTTCTAGTATTAAACTTTAAAAGTTACGGTAAAAATCACCTGTAAATTGCAAATATTTATCGTCCAAATTTTGCCTCATATTGTATTTACGGAATATTTTTATATAAAAAAAAAACCATTGAGTTTTAAATGAAGTAAACATGAAATACTGTAATGTAAATAATTTATTTAATGAATAATAAAGCTTGTAGAATTAAATGCTTTAGTAAAACTGACGGGCTGCATCAGTCATGTTTACTTCATCATCAGTCATTTATTTTTATTATTTTTATTTTTTTTTTAATTTCATTTATTTTATTTTTATTTCATTTATTTTATAATTCAACACGACAAAAAATAAAAAACCAGTTCAGCATGCTTTTTAAACTGAATTACCAGTAAATGAATAATTAATGAATAAAGTAGTGTGGTTTGCTCTGTTGTCTTTACACTCGCCCCTATAATGCTAACTGTTTCAGATTAAAATGCAGCTCTTAAACTTTGCTAATATCTAGATCGGTTTACAACAGCCGGGTCACTGTCAGTACCTAGATAAACAATAAGTGAATAATATAAATGATAGAGAGCAGTTTTTTAAAAATTGAATTGTACTTCTCTGGTACACTCCCCTTCAAAAGGTTATCCATATGCAAAGTGTCAACTGTTTTAAAGACTTCGTTTCCTTAATATAGATGCTTTGTAGGCAGCGCATAGATTAAAAAAAACATTTATGTGAGATTGTAGGTTTAATTCAACTATTTTTATAAAAAACCTCTACATTATATCGTTATATTGAGTAAGAATAAACATTTTATTGATTTTATCTACTTATATTTGTTAAAATCTAACTAAAGTTCTTTTGGCATTACAAAACTGAAAATGTATATATAAACCTATTGTTAGGTTTTTCTGACTCGATAAATCCAGACCATCTAAAGTAGGGGGCGGTTTCTGGGTTAAATGATTTGTGATCAGGCAGACCCAATAATCATAAAACTTGTTCATTCAATTTTTTTCATATTTGTCTTGCACTGTTTTAATTTAAGTAACTATGAAATTACGTCATATATCGATATCCCAACAGTCTGATTTTTATTTGCATCACATAACTTTATTAAAATTTCATATCACTTTTAAACATAGTAATATGAAATTTTAATAAATTATGTCTTTTATTTCCGTTTACCAACAACATGGTGTATTAAATATATAAACCTATACATTTAAAACATCATAACAGGGTTATCGCCGTCCTTATAGGTTCTTATAGGTCCATCCTGGCTATAGAGCAGGTATTAACTTAAAATGATTGGAGAGAATAAAAATAAAATAATCACAACATTAACATAGCTTTATAGTTTTTTTCCTGCTTTACTTTTTTTTCCTGCATATTGGACAATACCATACTTTTGAAGAAGGCAGTTTATTAAGTTTTAAACATGTAGGATAAAACTATTTGTCACAACTGTCACAAGCCACCATATCCCCTTCAGTAGTCAACGAGTTACACACGTAATATGATTAAACACTGTCAGGCTCAGCATCTTTCGAGAAAGTTTCCTTGTCATTATTAGCATCATTTGCAATTCTATTTGTTAAAAGCTCTGGTAAAATATTTAAACGCCAAAAATTATTTATTGTACCTAATGCATTTTTTTGATACTCTGTGTCAGAAGCAGTACGAAAAATAACAAATTTAACTGGGTTCCATACCATAAAATCGCAATAAGATGTTCCAGTAGCATACATTTGGATTTGCACTTGCGTATAGTTAGAGTGATTTTTATTTATAGTGTATTGTTTGTTTTCATTTAAAATATAAAATCTACCAGAACTAATTTCCTCTCTAAGAGATTTATCTCGTAATGAAAACGGACATTTAATCTCCACAACGCCATATCCACAACAATCACAAAACGAATGAAGCATCAATCCATGGTTTGTCTAAAATGAGGCACAGACCTATGTCCTTTACGTTGATACCTCTGTGTACTTTTTTTTCACTCAAACAAATAATTTCTGAAATAAAATTAGGGTCACTATATAAATTTGTATACAACTTTTTAGCTTCATATTCATGTTGAGTACCCCATAAAAAAGCTTGGGTCTTTATTTGAGGTGGGTTTGGATAGCATATTTTGTTAATCAATGACCGAGACGAATTTTTCATAGTTGTTTGAAAAACTTGGTGTGATAAAGAAGCAGTTATTCGACCACATCGTTGCTGATACCATGTTAAAGATTATGACTAGTTTCTTGTAGATTCTTCTATGTAAACTGCTTTTAAATCTGACACTATAAGTTTCTTTTTAGTTTCTTTACATAAATTAGTTAGTTGGGCATCATCTTGTGATGTATTCTTTGAATAAAGACTATTGTATGATATTGGAAGTTTTAGACGAATACAAACAATGTCATTTGAAGCAAATGTTGATGAGTATTGACTAAACAATGATAGTCCAACAATATTGGGATTAATGGTATGAAGTTGATCTAGAAATATTTTTTTTTCATCAAGTGTTGGCTTTACACAACCTAATTTTCTTTTTTTAGTAAACTGTTGCTTGGCTTTGGAACTATATAATTTTAAATTTGCTACAGGTGAAGCTAGCACATTCTAATTAAAACTTTGGTTCCATTTACAAGGAAGGTCAGTTGGTGTACACTGTGTCATTCTGAATCGAACAGCAGCTTTAATTTTATATAGAGTCGCAGCAACATGTGAGCAAGTTTCACCAAGGCTTAAAATATGTAAAAAAAAAAATAATAATATTATCTTTAATTTTATTGGCATTTTTATTTTTATTCAGCATTATTGTCAGTAATAGACAATTTAAAAAACAGTAAATATTCCTTATTGTGATTTTATAAAGTATTTTAAACAATAATTAAATTTATCACTACAATAATTATCAAAATAAGCAATTACCCAGCCATGCAATCACAATGTGCAGCTAAAACATTTCTATCCTCATTTAATGCTATCCAAGGATTATCTGAATTCTCTGTACTCCTAAAGGATGGTCTAACTTTCATAGCATTTCATAACAATCACTTTATTAGGAAGGATCGTGTGTCTAATGGTTTGTACCCAACCAGATATAAAGAGGTTATGAGCTTCTAATGATTTATAAATTTCCATTGCCTCTGAACTAAA